TCAGCTCCTCTCTGTCGCACCTCCAGACATGTCGGTAGGGCGGGCCGGGCGTTTCGCATGATTTTCCCCTATCATACGTCCCTGAAGCTTGTCATTGGCAGCAGTGTCACGGATGGCGGGCGGGCCGTTTGCAAAATGTTGCTATCGCCTTAGCGCCGCGCGCATTCACTTTGAACATGTGTAACAGTTTCACGGGTGGAGGGCGGGCAGTTTTCAAAACGTGGCCCCCGCCTCAACGCCGCGCACATTCATGTTAAAAGTTTGCAACACCTCCACAGGTGGAGGGCAGGTCGTTTCCAAAAGTTGGCTCTCGCGTTGGCGGCGCGGACACGCGTCTTGAAGATTTGCGGCAGTTTTCCGTACAGTAGGCGCTTATGTTTGAAAATTTATGTATCGCCGTAGCGCCGCGCTCATTCGTTTTGAATGTCTGCAACAGTTCCAAGGATGCGCGTGGTCGAAGTCCCAGGAATGGTTTTCTGGCAAGATTCGGGGCTGTCAGATCGCAGCAGTCACGTTGATTCGCGGTGGTGAAGTCCCAGGAATGGTGTTCTGGCGCGGCTTAGAAATTTGCCAGGACGCAGCAGCCACATGGATTCGCGACGCTGAAGTCCCATGAATTGCGTTTTGGCACGATTGAGGAATCTCAGACGTTTGTTTTCCAATTGGGCATTTCCCGTCATGCAAATCAGTGACCTCCTGCCGTTTTGGCGGGAGGACCAGACCCTGCACTTACAGATTGCGGGGCCAAGATGTTCTTCCAGGCTTAGATTTTTCTCGTTGGCGGTTCTTGGGGATCCCACATAGAGTACTGCTGTGGGGCCGGCTCGATTTTGGGCCAACCTTATCTGGAGGACGTCGCATTACCCTAGGGGTCTTCACGATCCCCGAGCTGCGGAGGCAATCTCAGAAACTGATCCAGGGCCGCACTTCTCTCGCTCGGGCGTCTGGGATGGCCCGTGCCCGACCCGTTTGTGTTCTAGGGCGCGGCTGGCCAGAAGTGACCGCCAACGCCATCTCGCCTGCCCTCATCAAGAAGATGTTTTAAGAGCGGTGGCGCGCCCAGCTTCTGCAGGCCGCGTCGTCCAAAGTTCTGTCTGGAGGACCCGCTCGATGTTTCGTTGGCACAGCGAGCTCTGAAGGACGGCGGACGGATGCCAGGTAGCACGACGAATGCATTGTTATCGTTTCTGTGCTAGCGTACTTGGACGAAGGAGAAGATTGCCGAGACAGGCTACGAATGTCAGGTCGAATGCAAAGTGCGCGGAGTGCCGAGCGAGCCACTGCCTCACCGCCTATGGCAGTGCCCCGGTATCCAGGATCTCCGCAGCCAATCAGGTAGGAGATGCTGAGAACCGAATGGACATGAACTTGGGGTCTTCTCTCGCTCTCGGATCCTACATCGCTTGCACCAATTGCAGTGGGACCCTTTGGATTCAGACATCCCTCGGCCAAGTATTGGGATAGGGATGGAGGAGGCAGTTATGAGGCGATGGTCGGAGGTTGGAGCCAGGCCACAAGATTTACAACGCCCCACCCTGGGCAGTAGTCCATGTTGACGAGGCTAGGGACTTAGTTGCTTGTGTCTCTGGGGTAGTTTGAGCCCCCTCCTTCCCACCTCCCCAGCGGCAGATTACCTAGGTGGTTCCGTTGCCCCCACGTTTCTAGGATTCAGTAGAGCTATCGCGAACTGTGCTGGCATTCTGACTGTCCATCAGAACGCCGTCCGCAGTGTGAAGGATGCTCGCGCGTGCCGGGCCCAACTCTCCCAGGGTGCAGGTCGAGAAAGTTACAGCTCACCAAATTTGCGGCGAGTTCAACACTGCGTGCGCGAATGGTTTTTCGCTGCGGGCAAAAGCTTTGCTGACGGGATGGCGAAAGCTGCAGCGGCTTCGACTCCTAGCCCGCCGGCCTAGGAACCTCAGATGTTTCAAGACTCCAGCACAGCGATCTTTGCAGCATGCAGCTGAAGTTCTTGCCCTGCGGACACCACTTGCGCCCAAGACTGGGAAGAAGGCTTTCGAGAAGCCAGCCCAGAGTCGCAGCCCTTCAGTCGGAGCGGCTGGAGCTGTTCAGAGTCGGCTTGCGCCTCCTCCGCCGCCCTGAGAACCCGCGGGCGCGCGGGGACCCCCCAGACCAAGCAATTTCACGTTCGGAGCTGGTGAAGTCCTCACTGGGTCTGTTCGATTTGCCACACGCGTGTGCGTGCAGACTGCGCGCGTAAGTCCCGAGCCCATGAGATCTGCCCTGATACTGCCGCCTCCTTGTCCGCCCTCATGAGGGCTCCCAGGTGGCACGAGCTTTTTTATTTGCGATTCTGCGGCGCTGCAGTCCTTCCTTGTGGTTTGCTTCTCGTGCGTCAATTGCACCGACAGTAACCCTTAAAGGCTTGCGGAATGACTGTTCCAGGGAGTTCAGAATTCATCTTTCCATCGAAGCGTGGTTGCTCTTACAGCATCGGCGCCACCTCACAGACTCCAAGAGATCCGCCCGACTCTTCAGTCGAAGGGCCTGTTCGGAGGATCCCGCGCACACTCTGCTGTCCTGGTTAAGTAGCACGAAACCACAACCATTGGGGATAAAGAGAGTCAGCATTGTCCCAACAGACACCCACCACCATCTCGCCCACGGCACGACCAGGACGACACGGAAGTATCCCAGGGGCGGCGTGTTGCCCCAGTACGGGGGGGTATATCACCATGCGTAGTTGCCAAGTCACAGAAATGACGTGATATTCCAGGCATGCAGTGTAATAGGATAACAGTACAAGGCAAGTTAAAACAGTACAAGGTAAGTCAGTACCTGGCACGAGACCACAACCATATGGGAGAAGAAGATGAACATCGGCCCAACCGGGTCCGCCACGAATACTCGGAAAAGGAGTACGTAGCTGAAAAAGACGAGTTGCAGAAGGAAGAAGATGGGCACGCACCAAAAGAAGCACACAAGGATGCCGACGAAGAATAACGTTACATTGACCACAATCTGCTCGAAGTTGACTACGCACTGCTTGCCATCGACCAAATACTGCGTGACATCGACGACAAACTGCGCAACAAAACAACCACACACTGCGCGAAATCGACTGCGAACTGCGTGACATCGGCCAGAGACTGCGTGAAATCGACCACAAACTGCGTGACACCGACCACAAACTGCGTGGAATCGACCACGTCTTGCATGACATCGACAACCAACTGCGTGGAATCGACAACCACTTCCGCGAAATCGGCTACAGAGCGCATGAAATCAGCCACAAGCTGCGTGACATCGATTACACACTGCGCGAAAACGATTGAAATCGGCCAGCGATTGACGAAACAAACTGTGTGGCGACCGGAGCCTAAGATTTCGGGTTTGGTCAGGTCGACCAACCCATTTTCCTCCCCCTTGAATTGCGATGGTCCTCCTCCTCCTCCTCCCCTCCCTTCCTTCGTCCGCTTTCGGGGGACCGTGGGGAGGAGGAGGAGGGAAGGGTGGAGGAGGAGGGGAAGGGACCAGAGCAAACCCAAGGTGCCTCAACGGTGTTGCGGTACACCCCATCGGTCCCAGGCCCCCTCCTCACAAGTCCTCCCTCAAGTCCGCGCAATTGTCGCCCAGATCCGGGCTTCGGGCAAGGAACACAAGTTGGGGTTCTGGCAAGTTCGCGTTTTTTTGGAGTAAGAGAAGCTTCTGGCGCGAGCGATTCGGAAAGGAGCCGCCCTCCATCCGTGCAATTGTTTTTTTACGTTCGTCGTATACTGTGCTCGAGGTTGCCCCAGACCAGAACCCCATTTTGGAGGAGCCGCTTTTCACTTGAGTGACTGCTGTATTGTTCAAGGCGAGCGCGCGTGGCGCCGAGGCGAAAACACCATTTTGAGAACGATCGGCCCTCCATCCGTGTGGGTGCAGGACGTGTGAAGCTTCAAAATCGTAGGCGGTGTTGAAGTCTCTGGCGAAACGCCCGGTTGCCCGAATGATGCCTGTGGTGGCACGACCTGGGAGGAGGTGCTCATCAGGAGAAGGGATGGACGGGGAGAAGGGGAGGGGAGATGGAGGAGGGGGAAATGGAGAAGGGGAGGAAGAAAGGAAGGAAGAGGGAGGAGGGGGAGGATGAGGAGGAGGAGGAGGACGACGATGAAGTGGATGAGGAGGGTCGCAGGTGGAGGGGGGAGGGACGGTTTTTGTTGGATTGTCTTGTTTGCCCCGGAACCCACCTGGGACACACACCCTCACACAAGGCGATGGAGGGGAAGGATGGAGGGAAGGCGGGATGGGAAGGGAGGGAGAAGGAAAACAGTAGGTGGGAAGGGTGGGAGAGGATGAGGAGACGAAGAGTTTGAGGTGGAGGAGGAGGGGGAGGAGGACCAGTCTAAATCCAAGACGCAGAAACGATGTGGCAAGCAATCCTCCTCCAAGCTCTTCCTTCATAGGTCCCTACAAGATTGTTTTAGACTGCGGAAAGTGGCACATTACAAGACAACCGTCTGAGATTCGTTATCCGTGCCAAAATGCAAATCCTGGGACGTCAACGCCGTGGAATTGCTTGCTTGTTAGGTCGTGGCAACCATCGGTCTTGCAAGAACGCGAGTCCTTGGACTTCCACACCGCGGAGCAACGTGAGTGCTGCGTCCTGACAGTCCTGAATCTTGCCGCCGATTCAAGACGACTGTCTGCAGCGCGAACGCGAGAGCGACATGTTGAAAAGTAACCGCCCTCCATCCTTGAAGCTGCTGCTGTATTTCATGACTAGTGCACGTAGCGCTAAGGCGAGAGCCACATTATGTAAAGGAGCCGCCCAGCATCCATGAAACTGCGTCAAACGTTTAAGACGAATCTGCGTGGCGCTAAGACGCCGGCCACATGCTGAAAAGGACCCGCCCTCCATCCGTGAAGCTTTTGCAACGCGCTTCAGAACCGTACGTGGTGAGGAGGTCTCGGTCGAAACGCCTGGCCCGCCCTACCAACACGTCTGGGTGTGTGACAGGAGTGATCTAGGTATACCAGAAAAGAGATGGAATGGGAGGGAGGAGGGGAAGGAAGAGGTGGAGAGCGGAGGGGACGATGGGGAACCACGCGGGCGCCGCCGGCGGAGGCCCAGCAAATGATCCACGAGGTCGCGATCAAAGCCGCCGCGGCCGCGCCCCCGCCCGGAGCTCCCGCGGTGGGCCGCCGCCGCCAAAGGGGTCGATCGTGTCGTTTTTTTCCTATTCCTCTTCCTAATTCTCCTCCTCCTCCTCCTCCTCCTTCCCTGCCTCCCACTCAATCTACTTGGGCCCGAACATCTTGGCGGGTCCCATGCCTCGATCCCTTCACGAGGGCTCCTGGGGGACAGATCATCCCCTGCACTGCTTTCTCGCCCTTGTAGATTGTGTGCAAGTGGTTGTCTGGACGAAAGCTGGGGAGCACCAAAAATGCCATTCTCATGGACTGAATTCAAAACTTGCGGCACCACGGACTGGAATGACCTCATCGTAGCAAAGAATGAAACGTGGCAGTATCAGTCGACTAGCCACGTTGTACGTCAAACCGTCCAACAAGGATCGGGGTGGCATCCTGACGCACGTACCGTTTGAGGAGCCAGGTGGTAGCAGCAAAGGGGTCTAGACCGGCATGCGCATCATCTGTTCCTCCCACCTCACCAAGAGCAGTGGATCAGTCCTCTCGTTGCTCGAGCTTGCCCTCGCCCCCGACAAGGATAATGAGTTCAAGAAGTCGATGTAGTCAAAGATCGGGATGCTGAGGCTCGAGAAGCAGCAACAGTCTTCGAACAGCGCCGTGCATGCTCTTCAGAAAGCAGACGGTGCCTGGAGATACTGTAACAACCGTCATATCAAGGTTATGAACGCTGTGGTCTGGTCGCAGGTTGCGCAAATAATCGTCCAAGCAGAAGGGAAGGAACAACGTGTCGCCCAAGAGTTGGCAGAAGCTGTGTCGAGTGAGAAGTAAGCCGCTCACATCTTAGCATCGGTGCAGAGAGGCGAGCCGCAGCAGCCGAAAGCGTCCAGTGGAGGTGGTAAATTACGTGAGGGCAATCCCTTCGGCTTTCTCATGCGACAGGCACCTCCTTCGAGAATGTAGAGAAACCCGAGCGTGAAGAACCAGGCAAGGATGAGGTCTCCTCCTCCTCCTCCTCCTCCTCCTCCTCCTCTTCGCCCGCGTATGCCTCCTGTCCTCCTCCTCCTCCTCGCCCTCCTCCTTGCTTGCCCTCGTCGCCCTCCCCCCTTGCCCCTTCTGAGCCCCTGGCCGCCGCGCGGATTCATGAACCACTCAGTCGCGCCGACCTGCGTGCGAATAATGCCCCACGTGAAGCAAAAACTGCATCGCCGTGGGGCTGCCCGCAGCCTGCGACCCCGATTTGAGTTTGGCCTGCCGACCCGACCAGGGCCCTCGACATTGTTTTGCCAACGAGAGTTGTTCCATCGGTTTCTACTTGTTCTCCCGATTTCTGGGGCCTTGGGACAAGCACCACTGGGTCCAGGACGACAAACCCAGCTTCGACTGTAACGATCCTATGTCTAGGTTCGACTGTATCTATCGTCGATGGGTCCTAGGTTCGACTGTATCGATAGTCGATAACATCGCCCTTTTCCACGACTGGCACCACACCCCTGTGTATACCACACCCCTCTCCACCATCTGGACGGATGAATGTGTGCTGGTCCCTGGGCCCGATGCTTGGCCCCAGTGGCCGAACTGAAAGAAAAGCGTCCTGGGCTGAGAAAGTCATGTGGACAGGATGTTCGGCTTACCGTGTCGCGCCGCTTCCGTGGCTTGGATTCTTGGCTTACCGTGGCTTATGCTCACCATGGTTCCGGAGCGACACGCTGACCATCCCACCCTCCCGCCCCGCGGAGCGGGGCAACACGCCATCCGATTGCAGGGTGTAGAGTTTCGCCAGGGCCGCCGCCGCAACACGTGCACGACCGGACCCTGGACCCCTTGTCCAATCGGTTCCTTGCCCAGTGCCCCTACCGTATCGCGCAAGTCGTCGCTTTGCCCTGTCCCATCCCTCCTGCCTATAGTTTCGAGCGTGTGTTGCCCTTTCATCGAATCTGTGTGCGTCGCCCCCCAAAGGGACGGCGAGAGCGCTCAGGAATCCTGTAGCATATGATCGGTGGCGGGCGGTCTCTGGCCATACCGCCAGGGTAACGATATACTGCCATACGGCTGTACTGTATGATCTGGCCGGACGCACGCGTCCCAAGAGGACGCACAGCACCAGTGTGTCTTGTTGTGCGTCGAAGGAGGACGCACAGTATCAGCGTGTCCCTCTGCGCGTCCCAGGAGGACGCAAAGTACCAGTATGTCCTCCTGCGCGTCCAAGGAGGACGCACAGCACCAGTACGTCCGTCTGCGTCCCATCGCAGCCGTGCCGCACCCGCGCGCCTGCCGAGGCGGTGCCGGCGGGGCTGAGCGGCATGTCGCTCTGAGAGCCGCGGCTCTTCGCCCCGGGCTCAGGACCAGCGCCGAGGGGGCGGGGGCGCCTCGTGTCCTGCCGAGCGCTCCTCGCACTGGCTCGCGCGAGGAGGGGAAGGAGGAGGAGGAGGAGGAGGAGGAGAAGGAGGAGGCAGTTGTGGGAGGAGGCAGGGGTACGAGGGAGGGTCAGGTAAGGTAAGACCCCACTGAGCCGGCTCCAGACAACATGAATGCAGATGAACAGCCAGCTTGGGGGATGCGACTCGTATGATCGCCCTCTCACGGATCGGCCCCGGCAGCCTCGCAGCCCCCCGGAATCTTCGCAGGAGTCGAAACCCCTCCCGGACGGGAGGCGAGGGGCCATCAGTGAGGCGGCTCCCATGTAGCTGGCCTTGGAAGCCTCGAGCACCTGGTAGGCCTCGCCGGAGACTGAAATCGCGAGGCTCGTGGTGACGATGGCAGGGACCATCCTCATCTGCTGGGCGTTGGTGACGCTCAGCCTGAGAGCGAGGTCGGCCTTGGCAGCCGTGCCGCCGGACTCGCCGGCCGCCACGGCCCTCGCCTTCGCGACGGGCTCGGGCCCGACCGCGGAGGCGACATCTCCGAACAGGGCCTTCCAAGCCTCGCTGCCCTCTCCTCCTCCTCCTCCTCCTGCTCCTCCTTTCCTCCTCCTCCTCCTCCTCCTCCTCCTCCTCCTCCTCCTCCTCCTCCTCCTCCCGTCACCGCGGTCATGGTGCGATCGAGCGGTGCGCTTGTTGATGGGGAACAGAGCACTTGAACCGATGCGCTGCACACCACTCATGTCTCCACGATGGCACCGTGCGCACGCTATGTGCGATAGCATGGGGAAGGTTTAAGAGACAAGGCGTGCGGGCCTCTTCAGCATTCGGGAATTCCAGGGAGCACAGCACGCACTTGTACGGCGGAGGGAGGAGGTGATCCCGGCCAGGAGCACTCAACCTCGTAGAGCACACACCGTTCTTACTGAGGGGCAATCCCAAATGCTTCTCGGCAGACGCCGGCTGGCGTAGAATTTACCGCACAAGATACAGAAATTGGAAATTGTGAGATAACATGCCAGCCGTGTATGCCCGTGGCCAGGCCGACCCGAGTTACATAGGTGTATTAAGCACGCACGCCGGGTGAGGAATCTTTCTCCACACTCAGTACCATCTGGTCGAGGAGTAGTACAGACCCAGGGCCAGTGTTCCTCCTCAAGCACTCGCTCAGGGGCTCTCGGGGCTGCTTCTGGGGGCGGGATGCACACCATGTTCACAGCAGATTTGTATCGTTTTCGGGTCCACCGCGAGGAAACTCTGGCGAATGTCTGCGTCAATGAACAGTTGGGGCGGACACTGGAGCACCTCGCCCACGTCCGTGTCGAACTCGGCGACAGCTGCAACAGCGTCAAGCTCAGCATAAAATTGCGAATGGTACAGGTGCTCGGGCACTCGGGATCCCAGGACGCAGCGCCGAAAAACGAGGCTATGGCCAGCACGTGTCGTTCCGGGTGCCGAACAGCGGCTTGCCACATGCGAGTACGCTGAACTTGTAGCTGTGTAGACACTGGGCTCGTGGACAACATCTTCAAGACAGCAGTGTTCGGGAGCGCTCGGTGGACATCACCATTGAGAACAAGCCCACGACCATGAGCACATTTCCGTGCGAGTGTGGCCTGACATGCGTCAAGGTCGTTGGCGTGCTCTTCTCGTAGCGGCAAAGATGTGAGGCCAGACAGTAACTAGATTCGACCTGCGACTTGAAAACGATGCCCTTCCAGCGCGTAGGGGCCGCACTCCACCAAAAACCTCTCAAACTATAGAAAGCTTTGATAGCAGCCTGCTTGCGATGCTTGGTCTCGGTGTTACAGGACCCTGACCGGTGAAGACGGGGACCCAAATACCTGGCAGACAACATCGGCTTCCCGGGAACAGGAACACAGGGACCGTACGTAGCACGGGTAGCAGCGTCAGCTCCACGACCACAGAAAATGACTAAACATTCGTGCTTGTCGAAATTTTGGACGACGTTAGCTCCAGAGAGTGCCACCGAAAGTGCTGCCGACGTAGACCGAGCCTGTGCTGCACGTGACGTGTCGAGTGAGGTGAACCGGCGGACTTTCGAGACGTCGTCGGCGTACGTGGCGATCGAAATGTCGAGTGGTGCACGAGCCTGTAGGAGAACGCTCCTAGCGACTGAGGCTGGTGCATCAGTAATGGCACAAGAAATCCAGACCGCCGAACACATATCGGAGGGGTGGAAGACTGAAACGTATCTATGCACTCGGTGTACGGTAACAGAAACCACTCGCCCGCAATACCGTCCCCAGGAAGAGTGCCACTACCGATACGACCGTGCATGACGCCGTCCGTAGCCTCCAGGCGAAACGTTGCACCACGCAAGCGTTGACGTAATATGCCAAGCTCGTGCTCTAGGTTAACCTTGGATTCCAGGGCAGCTAGTAGATCGTCGTGTAAGGGACACGCGAAGACATTACGTGCATCGAAATAATCCACTGCGTGCGAAATACGTGCGCCAGACAGACGAGTGTGCAACATGTTGAATTGTAGAATAGCATGTTCACGCCTGCGCCCCTGTGTGTACCCATACGAATATAGTCTGTCCGCGTTCACCTTCGTGCGAGCCCACGCTATGCGAACATAAATCTTACCCAGACAATCCAGACAATGAAGTAGCCGGAGCCCTTCGTCAGGGAGACCCGCCTTCTTCGGGATGGCACAGGCACTGCTCTGCGACCACACACGAGGCATTCGACGGGAAGCTCGCACAGCAGTGAACAACGCCTTGAGGGACTCTCTGACCGGGTTGTCCTGGTAGACAGGCCAGGAATATCCGATGCCACGACTCTGGGGACGTTTAGGAACGTAACGCGGCCATAACAATACACGCCACACTCCAGCAGGAAACGACTACACAGGTGCTCCGCGTCGGAGAGGAGCATGACGACATTTCCACGCCACCTCTTGGAGGTCGTTCTGGGCCCCTGCGGCGTGATCAGGGTGGTGTGAAAGACGTTCGTACTCGGGTTCGGCAGGGCAGTCTCCGACTTCTGCAGAACATCCCCCACGACAGCCAGACGACGACAACATCTCCTCCCAAGTAGCAGAATCGTAATTAATTGTAGGGGCAGCCAGAGGTCGACGTTTCGGGCCGAATCTGGTCCCGGCAACGTGGCGTGAAACTCTCCAGGCAGTTTCAAAATCCCGATGTTTCTAAGCATCATGTACTTCACTAAGCCATACATGTTTGCACGCACGCATGTTTCGTTTAGAGTACTTCTGAAGGGCACGATCAGCGACGCGACAACGAAGAACAGCACGTGCAAGCACAACATGGTCAGCAATACAGCGAGCAGTAGACGCAGAACAAACACCGACTTGAACAACAACGCGAGGATGTAACATACCGCATAGAACACGGATTGGTGAATGTCCAGCGGGCTCGGGGGGTGGGACAGTTCGAAGTTCACGACGAAGACGAACCCGGTTCTCAGCAGTTTGGGCATGCTCTTCGGATCTCGGCGCAAATCGAGATCGAGGATTTGCAGATAAATGTGCGCGCAGCAGACAATACACATTCGTGGAGGGAGGAGTAGATGAAGTCAGGGCCAGCAGCAGGGTCGGCAGCAGCAGGGCAAAGGTGAATATTGTGATGCACTGCACGAACAAATTCCTCCCGCTTGTACCCCATGAGCGCACACTGAGCGACAGCCTCGTGGGAGAAGAGCCGGAGCGACGCACTGCCACTGTAATGCAAACCCAGAGGGCACGTACCACGAGGGGGCGATGGTCACGTCGCCGCCGGCAGTTGATGATTAGGAGGGCGTCGCCAGCCCGATGCCAGACCTCACATTTCGAAACGGCATTGTTGAGGGAAACTGGCACGGCGATGTAATCTTGACGCGTAAAGCGTTACCGCTACTGATGGCCATAGCACGTGGGGCCACAATTCCAGAACGTGTTGCATGCCGCCAGATTGTGACGACGCAGAAACTGCTCGAACTGCGACCCGTTGAAGTTCTGCACCTCTGGGTTGCACGACCCGCTGTGGTCATTGACCTCCTCAGCACATGGGAGCTCTGCGGCAGACATGCCCACGTGGCCGTCGGCATCGATCGCGAGCACTGGCACGCATCGGGCCGGCAGCGTATCGGCCATGTGAGATGATTGCCTCCAGAATTCCAAACGCTCTGCGCGGCTGGCACTGCCCCGGGGTTCCCACGGAGCGTAGGCGCTGATGATGGCAGCATCGGATTGTTTTGTTCTGCAACGCACAGGCCCCAGACGCCCAGCAAACTTCCCACTCCCACCGCCCACCCGCCGAATAGCAGAGTCAGGAAAGACCGATCGTTTGGCAAAACCCGCTGCTCCATCGGACCGACCAGACGCCCCAAACGAATGAACTGTAACCGGGCCCTGCCGGGTTCGTTGTGCTTGTGCGGGGAGGTCATGCCTGTGCCGTGTACTCTGAAGCCCCCCGCATGCACATGATTTGAATTGATGCATAATGTCGTCCCATCGGCCGCTATGGGTAATAAACAAGACGTTGCAAGAGAAAACACGAGACTGTGGCATGGAGCAGGGCGGCCCGGCTATGGGCGAGAAATGGGCGTGTCAGCCCATGGGAGGGGGGTGCCGCGTGCTGCCCGGCGCGGGTCCTGGGCCGGGGCGGCAGCTAGTACGAGGGAGGGAGGGGAGGGTGGAGGAGGAGCGAGGAGGAGGGGTAGGGAGAGGCGGGGGACCAGCACGAGCGCAAGGAGGGCAGGGAGGGGGAGAAGGGGACTCACGGAATTCATCCTGACGGGACCCTTGATCGCGCTCCGCTCCGCGGGGCGGGAGGCTCGGGGGAGCTCAGGACTTGATTCTTGGGAGTGAGAAAGTGGATAGCGTGTCGCGCCGAAGCGCGTTGGTCCATAACTGGCCGAGTGACACGATATCCCAGAGTTCCCAGCCGTATACATGGGCCGCAACTCCATCCAATTCCTGCTCGAATT